AACACACCATCTATCGGCAAGGACCAAAAACCGTTGCTCTTACATGTTTATTAAAATATGACTATAGTTCAAATAACTTTAAACAAAAAAGTAATTATTGATTCTGGTAGAGCTAGAAGTTCTCTATCATCTTATGTACCTTTGTCTTGTCTTAAACTTATGAAATGAATGTGCTGCGTCACATAAATGAAAAATAGTAAAAAAATTTGCATGAGGATACAGAATTTCAAGTTCTACCAGAATCTACGATTATGTATAAAAAAAACTTTCATATACGACTAATAAATTCAAAAAGAACTCCAGATGCAATGGAAAATACACACTTTTTGCACTCATCGATTGACGACGTGTTTAATTTTCTCAAGTTTCCTTTTCTATAAATGAACATAAAAATATAAGTGAATTTCAAGCTCTATCACCCTAGTCTCAATTCTGTTCATTTTCTGAGACATCTTGGAAGAATACGTCAGGATCCTGAGTCTCCACGATCTTATCACGTTTGCCTTAGGATCCCGACTCAATTCCTGGTAATTCCTGCTTCGGGAATTCTCACGGTTATACAGAATCCTGTTCAGAATTTCTTCTCCTTCCTGACCGAAGTCATTTGTAGATCATAAATGCAGTATCTTTGCAGGTTTCAATCATGATCCTGCTAAGAATTCTTACAAGAATAATAGAGAGGGCTCCACCAAGATTTTATCAAGTTTTACAAGGGAACATATTTAAATGTACGCATGCAGAGAGGCATTTAAAACATTCTATCCTATAGAGCCACCCATGAATATCTCGAATATGATTATCTTAGCTGCTCTCGTTCAGGTTTGAGAAAAAAGGATGTAAATTGTTCAGGTGTAGGCCTTTTCTGCTTACATGTAACGACTGACCTATAAATAATTATACAGTTAGTATTTTCAATATTTCTTCTCTCTCATTCTCATGATGGAAAAAAATTTTTTAATCAAACGATAGCGATTGAAATCCTCTACACAACCATATGTGACTGATCCCTAAAACTGTTTTTGATATATTTTGGAAAAGGATGAAAAATAAACAGAAAACGGTGATTATGGATGCTACATTAATTTTTGTTCTTTGTTTGTATCGTAGTAGCTAGTTTCTTTGATTGTGTGAGTACAGTATCATGAAAAACTGATAGACCTTGTACATTTTGATGTGCTCTACACATTTTGTTGCAGAGAGGTAGCTGAAATTTCGCTAAAGAAAAGATTTAGGACATTCACCCTGACGATTCTACGTTCTCTGAAAGAAAGTGACGCTCTGCTCCTTTTGGATCTCATAAGTGCTCTTCTGAACAAAAGTTCGGCTACTTTTCTGAAACAAAAGCTGTAGAGTAGATCCAGATCTACATGATCTATCAGTCTCTCATGATTTCTGTAGTCAAACAAACAAAAAACTAGCTACTACGATAAAAGCGACGAACAAACAACTAATGTAACATCCATAACCACCGCTTTACTGTTTATTTTTTACAACTTTTTATGCATATTTATTTTTCATCTTTTTCCAAATATATTAAAAACAGTTTTGCGGCCCAGTCACATATGGTTTTGTAGAGAATTTCAAGCGCTGTTGTTTGATAAAAAATGTTTTTCCATCATGGAAATGAGAGAGAAGAAATATTGAAAATACTGACGGTATAATTATTTATGGGTCAGTCGTTACATATAAGCAGAATAGGCCTACATCTGAAAAATTCATCTTTTTTTCTCTCAAACCTGAACGAGAGCAGCTAATATAATCATATCCGAGATATTCATGGTTGACTCCATGTGATAGAATGTTTTAAATCCCTCTTTATGTGGATACACTCAAATATGTTCGATTGTTAGACAAGATCTGATACTGATCTTGGTACAAAGATTCAGTCAATTATGGAAGCTAAAACTAATGAGGGTGTCAATACAAAGCCACCAAGATGGTGTCTCAGTGACTACACTTGTAAGTTAACATAAGTAGAACCCACATTCACACCCACAACGACATCTTATTTCCTAAATTATTCAAAGTTCAACAACAATGAAAATTTACTCAAGACCCTGGTGTAATCCTGCTTCAAATCCTTTCAGGAACTTGAAATTCCATGGCTACACACTGTTTTCAGGAATTACTCATTGCCTGAAGGGTCCTGGTTGAAAAACAATGGCATTTTGTTCAGAATCCTGACTTAGTTCTGTTTCGAATCCTGCCAGGAGCTTGAAATTCCGTGGCTGCACAGCGCTTGCAAGATTTAGCCGTTTTCTCAAGAAAACAAGCGAATCGTGGAAGGATCTTGACTGGATCTTGACTGGGTCTATTAAGGATCTGGGTCAAAAACATCGACGATTTTCCCTAGGTCGAAACGGATGGTTACTTTTTAAAAAGATGACATAATGATGATAAAAAATTTAAAATGTTAATCCTGATGCGAATGACAAAATCGAGTAATTCGGAATCTCGATATGAGGGTGCCTTAGTTTCACCCCATTTATTTTGGTAATGAATAAGACTTAACGAAAACCTAATTATACAGAGCGATAGAAAGCTCCACGGAATCTTAGAATGTGTAATTATTTATAAAAAAAATGTCTTCCTATTGTGGGAATCTACTCAAAATACAAACTCTAAGTATTTTTTTTTTGGGGCGTACATAATCTGAAAGATAACCAATCGGCGCTTCTTTCTTTGATTAAAAATCTACTACGATTGTTCTTCGAAAATTTCGAGAATACATCCTATTCCGCGATGTTGAACACTGCGGAATCAGTTCCGCAGCGGAACTGATTCCGTCCAATTCCGGGAGCTCGATTATGATTCTACAGAACAGACCCCATCGATATCGATCGAATTCCTTCTGATTCCGGAGTTCCTTGTAATTGCGGGAATTCCTTCCAATTCCGGAATTCCGTCCAATTCCGGGAATTTCTTCCAATTCCCACTAATTTCCTCTCCACTCAATTCCCGGAATTCGTGGAACTCGATTGATATTGAATAGGTCTCTTTTGCTGAATGATGACGGAGTTCCCGGAATTGGGTGGAACTGATTCTGGAGACGGAACTGATTCCGCAATGTTCAACATCGCGGAATAGGATGACTACTCAAAATTTCGGATTACTGAAGGAGTCTTAAAAGGTACGTAGGCACTATGGAGTAGCTGCTCATCCCGGACCTTGTGAATAACCAAAAAAGTTTCAAAATACCATGTGTGTTGGAAAGGAAGGGTGAAATCCAAAATTGTCAAAACAATACTCATTACATGAATTTCGAATAATCATTCAGATGACATTGCATCAAGCTGAAATAGAATAGTTCCATTTCTTCCATCAAAGTTTTCAGGCAGCAGAAAAATACGATGCTATGAAGTAACTGAATTTAATGTAGGAACTATCATTGGCAAAAACTGTAACTAGTCCTCCTTTTCATGACCCCCCCTCCCCCCAGCACTCGGTATGCATGCTTACAACTAAAACAAAGGTATAGACCACATAAATTTGGTACGGCTGAAGATTTTCTCACTCTTCTCCTGAATAAGATATTTTCATCAAAATATCAGCATTCAACCTTACAAAACAAAAAAGCAGACAAACCTGTGCTAATACGATTCGATAAACGATGGAATGTCAGCAGTTGCATTTCTATGGCTTCTTCTGGCAGAATAAGTATCAGCTTGGTGAGCGGTATCAATGAGCGATCAATGTGACTAGTATTTGACTGTGGCACAAACAGTTGTAGGAGCAAATGCTCAAATCGCTTTCCTATCGTTGCAATAGTCGTCTGATCGTATAGATCATGCGAGCAAACAAAAGAACATGATACATTTTCGCATTCTGATGATGTGGCCTGAGAAAAAGTTAGCATGAAGTCGAATTTAGCTATGTCATTCTGTCCTTGCAGTGCCAAAGAACTGACATCTATCTCAGTGAAATGCAGTCGATCGACTTCGAGCGAAACATGGATGAAATTGAATGCAACCTGAAGTAACGAAGCAGTCAGCTCCGGCTGGTTCGAATCAGTTAGAATGTGTTGAAGCGGATAATGAGAATGTTCAAGGATCGATAAGCATTTATCTCGGACTTGCTGGACCAACTCGTCGAAAGAATCATGAGGATTGAATTGAATACGATAGGGAAGGGTAGCGACAAACATACCGATCATGTTTTGTATTTCTGGTCTATAGCGATTCGCATTCATACAAGCAACGCACAAGTCACTTTTACCGTTGCACAACTTATATAGAAATACATAGAATGTGGCAAGACCAAGTTGGAAAGGTGTGACATTGTGCGAAGAGGCATACGCTAGAAACGCAGCTGAGGTCTCGTTACTAAGAAAGAACTGACTGCAACAGGCGACACTCGATCGTTCATTAGCTGATAAACGATGTCGATCGACTGGTAACGATAAGTGATGTTCATAATCATATCCATTCATTTGTGATCGCCAAAAATCACGTGACGCAGTCATATCCATTTGGCGTTCATAAGCAGAATAATCTATGTATTGTAGAGAGTACTCGTCTATTGTCAATTGTGTATCTGTATTATATGACATGCAAAGATCTTTGAAGAATATGGGATTAGAAGCTCCATCGAAAGCCGCATGATGAAAAGCAAAGATAAGTACATCTGAGGAAGTAATCACATCGTTATCATTAGATCTTCCATTGAACGCATGCCGAAGAATTTGGCAATTAACGACACAGCCATTTGACAAATCAAATAATGATTTACTAATAATTGTTTCACGAAGAATCATATTAAGCTCTTCATCGTTTGAGAATACTTGTTCTGTGGAGCAAGTAAATGTTTCATCCGAGTGCTCAATGCGCTGCTTCAGAATACCGTCTTTTCTATCTAGGAAAATAGAAGTACGTAGTATTTGATGTTTTTTCAAAACCGATTGAATGGCTCGTTGAAGACGTTCCACTGACAGAGAACCATTGATGAGCCTAAATGCTGCCACCACGTTGTAGACCGCAACATTGTCGGAAAAGCGGATTTGTTCATCCAGAAAGATACGCTCTTGAGCGAACGATGCAGCACCTGAAAATTGTACAATGATAAATTATTCCATTAAAGATTGAAGTCTGTGAGAATGACTCTTTACCTTCATTGATATGTAATGTCTGCCATTCCTTTGATTTACCAGCAATAAATTGAATTGACTCGAGTAATTTTGCATGTTCTGAAATAGTTGTCTGTTGCAGAAATGGTGTAATGCCTAGCATCTGACTGTCAAAACCAAACAACGACTGATATTGATGGTAGAGTTGGATTAGAAGAAGTGAATGACCACCGATAGTAAAAAAACCGGCAGTAGTTGAAATTTTTTTATTAGCAGGTTGAAGAACTTCACACCAAACATCATGCACACGTTGTTCTATTTCAGAACGTGGAGCATCATACTTTGATGTTGTCAATACACTCAATGAAGAGAAATCAGGAATTGGTAGGCGTTTCCTATCTACTTTCCCATTAGCATTCAATGGTAACTGCTCGAGTATGATGAACATCGATGGAATCATAAATGGTGGAAGATGAGTACGACAATATGTGCGTAAATTTTCTTCATTAATGTCTGAGCTTTGTACATAAGCTATCAAATAATCTTCTTCATATTTCATAACGACACATGCAACAATATGAGTGCCAAGTAAACATTGTTCGATTTCACCTACTTCAATTCGTTGACCATGAAGTTTCACTTGATAATCTTTTCGACCATTATAATAGATCAACCCATTTCTGTCCATTCTCACTAAATCACCTGTCTTATAGTATGTTTCATCTTCAATTTCCACTAATACTTTTGATGTCAAGTCATCGCGACCGAGATAACCAGCAAATACGCCGACACCTCCGATGAGAAGTTCGCCCTGCTGACCGACGATCACATGTTGACCAAACTCGTCATGAATTAGACAGCGGTAATTTGGAAGTGGTTGACCGATAGGGATTGCATCCATACGATATATTGAATTTATTTGATGATAAGTAGAAAAAATTGTCGTTTCAGCCGGCCCGTATACATGCCAAATGACACAATCTGTTGTGATAATGCGTTTCATTCGTTCTATTAATTTAGTCGAAACAGTTTCTCCTGCATACAGAAACATAAAAAGTCATTAATGATTTTCTTTCTCATAGATTTCATTATACTTACCGCCAACACAAAGCGAACGCATTGATTTTATTAGTGGAATGCTCGTTTTATCCAAGAAATTAAAGAAATTATGAAGCCATGATGGTACAGCAAACATGTAAGTGATATTTTTATTGATTAGAACCGAAGCGATGTGCATAAGATCCATGTTTCCATCTATATGAAGCATCGTGAATGTGGCACCAAGTATTAGAGATCCAAAAATCTCTAACATATGGGCATCAAAAGAACATTGTGCAAGCTGTATAACAATATCCTTATCTGTCAATATGTGAATATGTTGCAGGGAGCTCATGCAAGTAATTATATTCTCATGCCGTAGTTGAGCCTAAACACAAAGAAAAGCTCAAAATAACGAAGATATATAAAACTTGTTATAACTGACTGCTTTAGGTGTTCCTGTTGAGCCACTTGTAAAGACTATTGCCGCGATACATTTCGATGTGACGATGTTATTGAATAGTCGATCAGGATCATACTCATTTACTATAAGATTATTGTTTACAGTTGCTTCGATGTCTACTGTGATAATATTCTCGCTGAATCTGCCTTGTGTCATTGAATGAACAAGAACAAGACGACTTTGTGTTTGTTCTAGCAGTATCACTAAACGTTGGTCGGGATTTTGAGGTGATAGTGGACAATAGACAGCGCCAACCATCTCGATTGACATCATACCAATTATCTAAGCATATAGGAATGTTTCTTCTGAAAGTCATATACATTAAATTTGAATTCACTCACCATTGCAATACTTCGCTC